GATGTGTTGGCAGAAAACGGCTGTTTTGTCGTCAAGTTCTTCACGCTATTCGAGTCGAAGACCTTATCTCTGGTATACCTCTTGTGGCGGGCCTTCCATCGGATCCATGCGTTCAAACCGACGGCCAGTAAAGCGGGAAACTCTGAGATCTATTTGGTGTGCATTGGATTCAACGCGAGTCCAGAGTTGGCGACAATTAGCGCCAGAATTGTGGCTAATTGTGGATCCGATGGCAGTGATGGTCAGCACTGTATTAGTCGATCACTGCTGGCGTCGCAGCCATTCATTGGCAAAGTGGAGGAATGTGTCCAATATTTTATCGACAATCAGATATCTGTTATCGAAAGCAATTTGAAGACATTTAAGACAATGAGTGATCAACAGAGACAGCAACTGATGGCTAGGAATCGCAAGTTTGCCAAAAGTTTTATCAAAAACTATAACATATTTAGCGTTAAAGCGAGCGATGAGTTGGTGTTTAATAGTGACTATAAATACAATTATAATAATTGTCTCACTTTTAGACGACTCAACGATTTGCTGAACAATAGCCAGAGTTATAGCCATCGAAAGCGTAATGATTTCTACACTAATGTATGGTTTCATGAATTGTCGACTTTATTGATACAAATAAGCGATAAATTAAAATACAAAAATCAATTAATTGACTGTAAATACTGGAAACAAAGCGCTAAACCAATGCACGAGTTTGACGTGAAGTTTGTTTACGGGTTGCCATACAATCAGATACTGAACTCAAAGTTTTGCGACTTATCGGCGATTATAGCCTATAATAAGTGTCTGAATAATAAGGAAAAGTTTGCATCAAATGTCAAAACATTTGTTTCGTTCAGTAGTGACACGAAAGAAATGCTCCAAAAACTAGTCTCTAGTATAGAGTCGACCGAATTGTTCGCTAAAATCATCTCAATTTGCGATAAAAATAGCGATAATTTTGTCACACAATTGGCGTATTTGTTAACAAACGGACAAAACGTGGAAATCATTAACGATTTAAACGAAATGCCATCAAAAGGGGCGCAAAAATCGCGAAACATTTACATATTGAACGCTTTGAAGACATTTAGCTTTGAGTTGATTAGCGAGAAGTCAGTAGTCGTTGAACTCATCGCACAATACATTCAATTGAATGCATTTATCGGCGAAAATGATTTACTTGTCATTCAAATCGGTTTCTCATTGACTCGTCTCATGTGCGCCACTCTTCACACCATTGCAAACACATATGAATACTATTCAGTGGTTCCCAGTATTGGGTCAATGGATGGGACGGAGTGTAGACACGGATTAGTCTGTCTTTTTCACACTAAACGACATGAAGTGCGCAAACAGACTACCGGTGCTTACCGTGAGAGTGAGGAAATGTTTGCACACGTATTGAGCCAATTAAACGGTGGCGAAGACACTGACGGCACCGGTAGGGCTAGTAGTGGATCGTTAGTCGAAATAATATCAGTTCCACTCCTGATGTCAGGTATGCTTTCCACTCAATGCTTGTTTTTATTGCTTTTCTCTTACATAGTGTTTGTCTATTAGTCTCAAGCGTTGCATCGATTGTTAAAAAAACATAAAACAAAACAAAAAAAGTTTTTTCTCATATTTTTTACACTCATATCTGTCTCTCATATTTAGATTTCATGTTTTACGAGACGCTATACAACGCGAACACCATTCAAATGATTGAAGTATTGAAATATATGTCAAATATTATTATCGCTAATGAATGAGTAATTTGTTGTCGAAAAAGCAATTCAGAGGAGAAATGATTTGTGTATTCAATAAATAAAAAATAAAAAATGATTACAAATATTGTGTTGAGATATGAATTGCGAGAAAAAACATCGATTCGTGCATTCATTTGACTCGTAAAAGGCATGTATTATGCGGTCAATCGATGGTTAATAGCGATTGGCATTCAATCAAAAGTCAATCGCTTTCCTCTTCAATGAGTCAATTAATGTCTAAAATGTAAGTAAAAGTGATTTAAAAGTGATTTTCATTTTCTCATTACATTCTCGTATGAAATGCTTTTCGCGAGATATTTGTGTCGACTTTTTCCTCTAAACTCATGCTTCAGATTATCATAAATTATAATAAACTATAAATTCATGCAATAAAATATGTAACAAATAATTCATGAATAATACAAACTCTTTGCTGAATGACCACTAAATTGAGTTTCTGGAGCTCCTGTTCATGGATTGCCTCCAATTCGCCGATTATTCTCGACTTCTCGTCATTCAAATCCGTTAACTCTTTGCCGATTGTCTCCAACTTATGCCTCAATTCTTGGTTTTCAGTCTCCAATTCAATGCACTATTCATTTGTGATACAAATAAATTGGTGAACAGTTTCACGACATTTAGGTCTTAATTATGAATAGGAGTAACATTTACAGTGCGTTTGCATTGACTCTCATTGAAATTGTATCGCAAAGCCGTCCGGAGTCCAAAAGCGACACCACTTTCATGCAAATAATCCGTTGCCATAAAACTCATCCGTATTTCATTGCGTATTCCGTACAATAGGAGTCCCCTATCGGCGCACTCCACGGTCACCTGTCTTATGATTTCATCTGCAAATAGTTTTAAAATCATTTCTAAGTCTCTCTCTCTCTCTCTCTCTCTGACCGAAGCACTGGTCGTATAGCTGTCTCCTTATGGGACAAAATCCTGTCTCGCGAGCCCTGTTATCCTGCAAAGCGGTGTCCAACCGTTCCCTCAACGATAGAACGTCTATTCTTGTGGCCGGAACTGTCGACACGTGAGACTCGTAGACATAGTCTTCCGATTCATTGCGTCTGTTCTCAGCAAATATGTCACAGAATTCAAGAATAAACTCAAAAGTATTGTATAATAATAGCATGTAATCCATACTTAATGTCAAACATGGAGTCCAATACATTCTGCAACAAATCGGTTCCGCTTTCGACGCTTTTATTGCCATTTATTGTCGTTTTGTCGTCGATTTGGTCCTTAATTCTTGGCCTACGCTTCGGATGACTGTATTTAAGGAAATCGGTTTCTATGGCCGCCCACTCCTCCATCGCTTTTATGAACAGAATATTCTGTGAATTTGTTTTGAAAATAATGACAATTTGATCGCAACTCATGACAACATGCATTAGAAACGGAAGTTTAATATTTATGTTACTTTTTTTATACACAATTGGTTTCTATAATAATATTATGTAACATTAAATTGGATTCACTATTAATTCAATAAATAAATTACTAGACTATTACTGTTAAGCGAAGCTTAAAGTTAAATATATTTTTAATGTTTAACGATATAAATATTTAATTTGTTATTTTGTTTTATGAATTTTAATCCTATTATTTTAAGTGTTTTAATATTTAAAAACACTTTATTAAAAACTAATCAGTGTATTTTATTTCTACATTAAATACACACTTATTTTTCTACGTATTTCTGGTTTGGCTATTAATAACTTCAAAATATATTAGAAATATATAGAAATAAAAGCTTTTTATTGCAATACTAGTAATACTATGTATTAATCTAATTATTATTATTATTATTATTTAGAGGGAAATACGAGAAATTCAATTCACTTTAATTCGCAGCCAATGCATGGACTCCATGTCCTCCTTTCCTCGTTCACAATACATGTATGGCTTTTATATACGAAATAATATCATATTTATATTAACTAACGATTTCAACGATAAGACAATGAAGTGCTTTTTGTTGTTGATTTTTGTTTGCTGAGTTGAATAACTTATTTAATTGACTATTTATTTGTCATTTCATATATCGTGTGCTTTTCAAAAGTTGTTTTCTTATTGAGTGAAAAAGCAGTTCAAAANCTGTGTGTATAGCACCAACGAGAGTGCCCAGGTGACATTAGTTACCGCTGTGTTGAGTGCATGCTTATTTATGCTCGCGCTTACATAAGTAATAATTTTATATTTGTATATTTTCATACAAAATCCAATATTTTTTGAGCATGTTAATAATTTTTAATCAAATTGTTCTGTGTTACAATTTCCAGTTTTAATAATACTGTATAATAATAATATAATAATAATTTTGTAAATAATATTAATAACATATAGCAATGTGTTACATAACAAGTTGTAATAACTTAAAAATCTTACCAATGTCACCCAATAAAATTGTCATTATTGGTCAACATTTTGGTGTACTTTTCATCGAAATATTCAAATGTTTAATATTTTTAAAATATTTTAATTTTCAATACGAAATACACTTTCTTTCAAATAAATACTATTTATTTATAGTTACGTATAAGCAATGTCATTTAGTGCACTACAGGTACATAATATGCACAATGTACTGTTACGTACATATAATGTACCTGTATTGCACCTGTATCACTGCATAATGTATAGGTAAGTACATACAGTATACGGCATTCAATAAACAACTTTTTTATAATAGATTTTAACATCAATATGCAAATATTGTGCTAATGTTAAAGTATTAAGCATTTGTTTGTACTGTTTTGTATGTGTAATAGTGGCCTATCAGTGGTTTTATGTCAAATAACAGACAATTTCTATGAACATATTACTAATTTTTAATCTCAAAATTATTTTGCAAATTCACTAGCGGTCAAAGGTTACACCATTTGGACTAAGAATTAGTAATAAGTGATAAGAATTGTTCAGTTTTCATGAATACTGTCATACAGTATATGAAATACAAGTTTGGATCAAACATTTCAGAGACTATCAATTCTATGGTCATTCAGATTAGTATTATTAATGCATACATTTTATTCTGTTATTTAAAAATGTGAAAATAAATGCACTTTTGTGTGAATACTAAACTGAATGACCCCGTGGAATTTAGAGTCCTTGACTAATTGTGGTTTCAGCTCTATGCATACTTTAAATACTTTATATACTGTAAATAGATACTTTAAATGAAATATAAATAAATAAAATTAGTGCCTTGCCAAAGTATCAATCTATTAATTTATACAAAATGTCACAAAAGAATTCATTTATTTTGGATTACATTTTGGTGTCTATACCGTGGATATAGTCTATGATTTGATTTCACATTCAATATTAAAATAAATCATTTTAGTAACTAATCTTATTACATTTAACGAATACAACTCTTGCCTTGCTGCTTAAAGTGAGGTCCCGGGGCATTCAGTTTTTCTACTATCGTGTCAGGATCGTTGTCATCGATAGCCAGGTATGTCTTCGGCGCCAATACATTACTATTTGGAGTATTGGTCGCAAAACAATAGTAGATTCCTATGAATGAGAATACGAAGAGTCTAAACATCTTGGATCTCAACCTACAAGTGAGCAGTAGTTTACAAATCTGTGAACTATTTAAACGAATCTATACTCAAAACCTGAGATTTTGCAGTGAATTGGTTGTGAATAGAGTATTAAATTCTGGACAAAAAGGTTGAGACCATATGTTTTATGATGAGCTCCGCGCGTGAGTATCAAAATCGGGTTTTTCTAACCAATGGTTAAATCAATTTTTGGAAACAGATTTTTAAAACTAGTTTATAATTACATGACTAGTTTGTAAGGTGAGTACAATTACACATTCAGTTACCCGTGTATATCATTTTAATTAAATGTTGCAAAAATCCGAATAATTTAATATTTTTAACACAAACATGAATTTACGTTCAAATAAAATACATTAAATACAAAATAAAATGTTCAGTTAGGAACAATAATTAGCAAAAACAAAGTACTCATTAAACATAACAAATTAAAATCATAAACTAAACACCAATTTCATTGCAATCGGTTCATACAGAATCTTATTATAAATACGGTATATTCACTCAATTTAATGATATATGGGTGCAGTTTTTTTAATAATTGCAATATTATTCAAAAGTTTATTTAAATTTATAATTCAAATAAAATAAATGTTTATATAAATTAAACTAAGAAAGTGCTTCAACTGAATGAATAACCACTCAAATGATAGCCACAACAAGATTTGGTACGGAATGTGAGGACTTTGTTGTCATTCATTGTGTTTACATTGAGTGCCAAAACATGTGCGAAATATATTTGTAATGAATTTTCTTAAATGTCTTTTTAATTGTAATTATGATTCAATTCTTTAGATTTCTATTTAATATGTCTTTTCACTCGAGAATTATATTCTCGTATTTTGCGGACAAATAATACATTTTTTAATATCTCTTTAATATTTATCACTTTAATAGAGAATATTCTTTATATGATTATAAATATTTTAAATAATGTCTCAATTAATTGCATTATAATCTCAACACTGATTACTGCCATTTGAATCAAAAGTATTTTGTTTTTCTTAATGTATATTATTGTCATATCTTTTGATTAAAATTATGTTCAATTATTTTAAATAATGTCTCAATTAATTGCATTATAATCTCAACACTGATTACTGCCATTTGAATCAAAAGTATTTTGTTTTTCTTAATGTATATTATTGTCATATCTTTTGATTAAAATTATGTTCAACATATTTCCGACTTTTATTTTATGTCTCGGAATCCATGTATGGATTCTGGAGATCAGCCATCGATTGCACAGGATATCCATCATTTCAAACTCGATTACTACACATTAAAAACATACAATTAATGTTCAAAACAATTAAAAACTCCACAAGCAAGTTTACGCACACTCGGTGTGTAAGAGTACGGCTATTTTGGTCTATTAT